TCTTTGCAGCCCAACACCCTTCCAAAGTGGCCCAAAACCCATCTAACTCCCCTCTATGCTCTCGGTCGTTCGATCACGATCGCGTGGCCAAAAACCGCTCCTCATTTGGACTCTCCTAGCTCACTCTACCTATATATTAGTCCCCCTCCCCCGAAATCGCAGACGAAACCCTAGCCCCTTCTCCACCGCGCCGCCAGACATGTCCATCCGCGCCGGACATGTCCGCCGGACACGTCGTTTTGCCCAATCGGAGAGCGCCATGTCATCGTCGCCGCCGTTCCGGCCAACCCGCAGCCGCCACGTCGCCCTCGCGCCCGCTCTCTCTCTCCTTCGTCGCCCGCGGCCCGCCAGGCCCTCGCGAAGCCCGCCCGAGCCCATCTGGGGCCCGGGTCGGACCCCGTGCGCCGCCGCCTCACCCGTTCGCCGCCGCCGACCACCGCCATCATCGGAGGACTCTCCGCCGACCGCCTCCAGCGCCGACCCCGCCACCGATCCGGCGCGGCCCGGTCACCGTGCCTCCCGTCGCCTCTGCCGCACCCCGCGTCAGGCCCCCGTCTCCACCGCGCCACCGTGCCGGCGCACCGCCCCTCCGGCACCGGCCCCACCGCGCCTCCGTTCGCCGTCGCCTTGCTCGCCGTCCGGCCCCGCCTCCGACCAGATCCGGGCAGGAGCGCCCAGATCCATCCATCTCCCTCGCCGCCAGCCAGCTCGTCGCCGGAGCCGGCAGGAGCCGCCGCCGCCGCCATGGCATTGCTCGGGGTCGAGCGCCCCGCTCGCCTCCATCGTGCCCGCGTGGGCCACCTCGCGTGGGCCCGCGGCCCAGATCCCTGCCGGCCTTCCCAAGGCCCAGTTGGCTAGGCCCAGCCCCGCCTTCCTTCGGCCCAAGGCCTCGCAGGTGAACGAGCCCACCAGATTCCCCGCCCAGTGCACGTTATAGCTATCCTGCGCTCACTCCGTTTTTTCTATAAAATGACTGTCCCGAATATTTCAACATTATCATGCCATGTTCATCGCATTGTATCTTTGCATCCGTAGCTCCGTTTCGTGCGTGTAATATGTCAAATTGTTCGCCTCAACGAGTACTTCATTTCATTCCATTGCATCATATTCATTTGAGGTCATCTTGATGCCTGAATCATCGTTGTAACAGTGCATGTTGCTGTTAATCTGCTGTCTGTTAACAGAACGAGCTCTTTTGTCATTTTTGCCATGATTGATGTGTGCATCCTATGAGGTTGATGTCTACATGTGTTTTGATCTATGCCATGTCTTCTTTACAGAGGTGCTTACCATGTATTTTTGTGATCAATGTGGTGACTAGCACAAGCATGCAAACTAGGCTTCGTGATATTGCTGATTTTAGTCCCTGTTCTGCTGTTATTTTGATGCCATGTAAACATGATGCTACAGAGAGATCCATGCATATTTTGAGATACTTCAGTAAGGATGTTTTGGACATATGGTCTTTCTCTATCCATTCATGCCCTTGATTGCAATTATGGAGTAGTCTAGCATGTCAGTTTCGTGCTCTACTTTTGCTTCAAAATGTTTCCTGCCAGATTGTTTACATGTTATTCAATTTTGCCAAGGTTGTTGTAGTTGATCCTTGCATGCTATGAACTTGTTCTTGCCTTGGTTTGTTTCACAAACATGTCTTATTGATGATGCTATGCTTATCTTGTCATGCAATGACTTGTGGTGAGTGGTACAAGCTCACCAACATGCCTTCATAATTCTGTTCCTGCCATGTTTGAATCTGTAATATAATTTGCCATGTTTACATGGGTGCCATCATATTTTCTGATCCTTTTTGGCTCATGGTCAGTAAGGGACTTTTGATCTATGCAATTAGTAGATTCATGCCATTCCTTTGTTTGCCATGATAAGTTCCTGTAATATGTTGTTTGATAGCTCTAAACATTGCAACCTGATATTATTTTCTGCAAAGTCTGAATTGTTATTATTTGCAATCTTTTCATGTGTGTTTGAGCATGTTCTAGTGATTTATGAAGATAGCTCAGTGTTCATGTTTTGTTATGCTTTACCTGTACATCATGCCCATGCCTTTTGTTTTCTTGTTGAGGCCCTGTAGCATGTTGTTTTGATGCTTGCAAGATGTTTAGTTGCTGTTTTGGACATATTGTTGCCATAACTTGTATAGTGTGTGTATGTTGAACCGTTGCTCCGTTTTGAGTGTGCTCTATATGAAACTTGCTTAGAATTGCATGTAGTTTCATATTATCATGTTGCATCCATGTTTTGAGGTGTTTGCTTGATGTTTGTATGCTTTTTGCATCAATTCCATGTTTAACTTGTTTTGCTCATATCTTCTAGGCCGTAGCTCCGAACTAAATAAACTTTATATGTAACTTGACTAGAATCTCGTGTAAATCATCTTGGTGCATCTTAACTTGTTGTTTAACAACTTGAACATAAGGGTTATTCAGATCTGGAGCAACTTCGAAATTTGCATATGAGGACTTACCGGAATTGTTATATGTTGTTCCTGGCCTCATTTAAACTTGCCTTGATGTGTTGCTCTTGTTTGCATCGTTCCTTGCCATGAGTAGCTTAATGTAGCCTTATCATGCATCATGCTTGTTGTGCATCATGCCTTGTTCATGTGTGGTGTGTTTACCATGTTGTGTGCTTCTTTTCGATAGTTCCTGTTTGGTTGCGATCGTGAGGATTCGTTTGTCTACGCTTGGTTCGGCTTCATCCGTTCGTCTTCTTCATGGAGTCATTCTTCTTCCTAGCGGGATTTCAGGCAAGATGACCGCTACCCTGGATCTCACTACTACCATTGCTATGCTAGTTGCTTCGTTCTATCGCTATGCTGCGTTACCTATCTTTTGCTCATCAAGCCTCCCAAATTGCCATGAACCTCTAACCTTTGACACCCTTCCTAGCAAACCGTTGTTTGGCTATGTTACAGTTTTGCTCAGCCCTCTTATAGCGTTGTTAGTTGCAGGTGAAGTTGAAAATTGCTCCATGATGGACAGGATTTTGGTTGGGATATCACAATATCTCTTATATTATTAATGCATCTATATACTTGGTAAAGGGTGGAAGGCTCGGCCTTATGCCTGGTGTTTTGTTACACTCTTGCCGCCCTAGTTTCCGTCATACCGGTGTTATGTTCCCGGATTTTGCATTCCTTATGCGGTCGGGTGATTTATGGGACCCCCTTGACAGTTCGCTTTGAATAAAACTCCTCCAGCAAAGCCCAACATTGGTTTTACCATTTGCCTCACCACCACCTATACTTTTCCCTTGGGAGTCGCTCTCTCGAGGGTCATCTTTATTTTAGCCCCCCGGGCCAGTGCTTGTCTAAGTGTTGGTCCAAACTGGGCAGACTGCGGGGCCACCTCGGGGTAACTTGAGGGTTGGTTTTACTCGTAGGCTGACCTATCCGGTGTTGCCCTGAGAACGAGATATGTGCAGCTCCTATCGGGATTGTCGGCGCATCGGGCGGCTTTGCTGGTCTTGTTTTACCATTGTCGAAATGTCTTGTAAACCGGGATTCCGAGTCTGATCGGGTCTTCCTGGGAGAAGGTATATCCTTCGTTGATCGCGAGAGCTTATCATGGGCTAAGTTGGGACACCCCTGCAGGGTATAATCTTTCGAAAGCCGTGCCTGCGGTTATAGGTAGATGGGAATTTGTTAATGTCCGGTTGTAGATAACTTGACATCAGATCCGAATTAAAACGCATCAACTGTGTGTGTAGCCGTGATGGTTTCTTTTCGGTGGAGTCCGGGAAGTGAACACGGTTTCTGGGTTATGTTTGACGTAAGTAGGAGTTCAGGATCACTTCTTGATCATTACTAGTTGACGACCGTTCCGCTTGCTCTCTTCTCGCTCTTATTTGCGTATGTTAGCCACCATATATGCTTAGTCGCTGCTACAACCTCACCACTTTACCCCTTCCTTTCCCATTTAAGCTTTGCTAGTCTTGATACACATGGTAATGGGATTGCCGAGTCCTCGTGGCTCACAGATTACTACAACAACAGTTGCAGGTACAGGTTTTTGCGATGATCATGACGCGAGAGCGATGTTCGCTTGTTTTGGAGTTCTTCTTATGCTTCTTCGATCAGGGGATAGGTTCTAGGTTGGTAGCCTGGGCTAGCAGGGTAGATGTCGTTGAGTTTCTGTTTGTGTTTCATCCGTAGTCGGATGATGCTCTTATGTATTGTGATGTTGTATTCGTGTGGCATTGTATGCCTTTTGTATGTATCTCCATCTATTATGTAATGCTGATGTAATGATATCCATCTTGCAAAAGCGTTTTAATATGCGGGTCTATCCTTGGTGGGACCTTCGAGTTTCTTTTGGATAGGGTCGCATATTGGACGTGACACCCGCTCCCGGCCGACGCTGCGGGAGGCAGCCGCCGCCGGGCAACCTGTTCCACCAGGTGATGGGGATCCATAGCTCGGGGGCATGGCGCCGCAACGCAGGATGGGAGATCGAGGGCCTAGCGCGGCCGCGCCGGCCAGCTGTCCGGCGTCGGGGACGATGGAGTGGTCGGATGGGGGTGGGGGGAGCCCGGAGCAGCAGTGGGTTGGAGAAGAAAGGCCCCGCAGCCACCATCCCAGGGTCCGGCGCAGCTTCGCCGGCCAGCCCTCCGACAACGGTGGCGCGGGAGTGGGCAGAGGGGAGGCTTCGGGCAGCGGCTAGGGTTCCCCTGTGTCGCCCGAAGCCGGCGACGCGGGGGTCGGGCGAGCGTGGACGCAAGAGCACTTATGGTTGTGGCTTGCATCTTTCTTGTTGATATTTTTCTTTATAACTCAATTAAACAAAGAGAGTACAACTAAGACCATTGCTAAAAATAAATCTAGATAAAATTCCTGGAAAATTGTCATTTGGAGCTCTGCTCTTCGCATCTTCATGTTGTTCCAAGCATCTGACAACGAAAACATCAAACCCATTATTTGGTTTGTCCAAAAACACTCACAAATGAGAGTCGATTCAACCGTTGCAGCCGCCGGTGAGACCTTAGGTGGGACGTACATAACATTCCAAGTGCAGGTCGCAAAAACCAACGTCAGCCAATTGGTTCCCCGGAAGATCTGCCAGGTGTGTGCATGTTTCATTGAGCAGATCATAGACTTGTAGCGTCGGAGTTGCTTTGTCACTAAGTAAGTAATAGCTGTAATAGCACATTAGCTTTCCACCATGACGCATCACCTTTAGAGGGATCACCAGATCAACTGTTTCAGGCATCGGGATCATGTACGCCTTGACCCAGGTGCCCTTGGCCAAATCAGACAGGAGCCATATGATCGTGCAACCATGTTTGGTCCCGCGTCCCTCCGAGTGAACCATGTTAAGGGTGCCGTTGAGCTCGACCATATGAGGCGTTGTATATCTCATCTCTGGGGCTTTGATGGACCTCTTCCATTGCTCGGTCTCGAGGTCAAGGCGGAGGACATAGTCCCCACGCAACAAGCTGTAAAGGAAGTAGAGCACACCATCTATGGTGACCGTAGAGTTTTTGTGGAGGCCGAAATAGCTTGCAATTGGTGGTGATTGCATCCGCCTCCACCCTCTGGCGCCGTCTTCCAACGCGAGAACCCAGCAGGTGTGCACCAGCGGATGACCATGACTGATAGTGGCCATGAGGCGGACCACCTTGTACTTGTCCGACGGGGCAGCGTAGCCCGAAAATATAAAATAGCACAGCTGCACCCGGGCCCTCTCTATCTAGCCATCCATTCTGCGCATCGCAATTCGTGCAAACACATTTTTCTTTTTTGTTTCTCTCACATAAAACATATTTTGAAGTTCAAACCTTTGCAGCGTAGCAAAGTTTTCTATCTAGAGTCTAGGATAAATCTTTTAGATTTTTTTGTCAAATATAAATATACAAAAACGATTTTTTTAATGTAAAAAATCATTTTTTGTATATTTATGTTTGACAAAAAATTCTGAAAGATTTATCCTAGATTCTAGATGAAAAGCTTTGCCACGCTGCAAAGGTTTGAACTTCAAGACATCTTTTATGTGAGAGAAACAAAAAAGAGAAATTTTCATACGAAAAGTTAGTTGTGTTGCACAGATCTTAAAGCAATATTGGACAACCAGGATACCAGGGCCGGGGTGCAGCTGTTCTAAAAATCCACGTCCCAGCGTAGCCGATACCCAAGGTGCACAACGCTTCGTCGTCGTCCATCTTCGTGGAGGTCACGAGCACGTCCCCGGTGGCCAGATTGATCACGTTGAGGACGCGGCCGACGCGGGTGGCGCAGACGGGGCCGCGGGGGCCGGAGATGATGGTCCAGAGGTTACCTGCGGACTTGACCACCCTCACGACGCTGCCGTCCGTGTCCAGCAGCCGCAGGTCGCGGCGCCCTCCGCTGGCCACGCCATGGAAGGAGTTGGCGACGATGAGGAGCTGCGGCTCCGTGCGGGCCTTGTGCGCCGCGACGAACGCGGGGTCGGAGATGAGCGCGCCCCACCCCCTGGACGCGCACCGGAACCGGCACACCGACTTTACCGGCGCCCAGGAGAGTATCTCGGAGACGACGTCGCTGGGTACCGACGTGGGCATGGTCGATTGATCGGTGGCCGGAAGGAACCGCCCGCGAGCCGGAGTCGCTGCGAGGCCGAAAGATCGGATCCGCAGGCACGATTGTAGCGTATTGTACACCAAATATACAACCCCGTTGTTTTTTTTAGGGAAGGCCTACAACCCCGTTAGTTTGTTACAACCTGGAAAGGTATTGTATGGTAACACTCAGCATACAAATTGGAAATCATATATATTGTACACGCCTGGGTCTGCGCTTTCTTTCTTCCGGGAGAAGAAAAGAAAGGCGATCTCGCCTCCTGCCGCTAGGGTGTCTTCCTCCGCCGCCGTCCTTCGGCGGCTCCCCTCCGCTGACGACCTCGGTCATCGGTGGTGAGGGGGGTCGCCGGATCCACGCGTGTGGATTGTTTTAGACATTAGTTTTTTAGGATTTTGGGTTGTTCATCGTCATGGCTTCGGCAGTGGTGATGGCGGCGCCGACTAATAAATCTTCAGATCCTTCCCCAACGAGGCGGTCCGTTTTTGGGGTGGATTTGGAAACCGGACTGTTCAAGCAAGGATAGTACGGCGGCGGCGACATCCTCGTGGTGGACCTGTGTCCTCGGGCTCCGCCGTTGCGACGGCGTTTGCTCCAGCGCTGGCGTGGAGCTTGGGAGGTAGTCCAGGAGCGGATGCAGATTGTAGTCTGCATTGACGGCATCTGGAAGATGGTGGATCTGGGTTCGTGGTTCGTGGCAGGCAGGTATGGTTTCCTCCTACAACATCTTAGTTGGGCGGGGATGCCAGATCTGGAGTTCGATGGCGTGTCCGGGGTGTTGCCCCGGTCTGATTCGTTCAACGGCAATGGCTTCGCCTTTATTGGCGAGCCACCTTGGAGGTCCGCAAAGCTGCATATCAGCAATGGAGCCGCATCGAGCTCGGATATGGAGGTGATCCGTCATGTTCTCCTTTGGTGGCTGCTATGGTGGTGCCAGAGGCAGGTGACGGGCGTTGGTGTCAAGCTCAGAGGATTCTTCAGTCTTGTTTGTAATTTTACTTCTTGGCTGGTGTTCCTGTTTGCAAAGGCTAGCGTTCTGCTGTCTTTTCAGTTTTATCAGGTCGGTATGTACGTGGCTTGTACTATGATTTTGATGATATAAATGAGACATGTATTATCATGCAAAAAAATATATATTGTACTAATAGTGTTAATACTTACACCTTTTTCAAATCACAACATTACATGAAACAAGATATTGTTGTTAATGGAAGTTTTTTCTTTTGCGAGAATGCCCACGAGGCCTCCCAATCGGTAGGCGTCAACGTGATCTTATAAGCTAACGATACACGTCGGGCTCAGAAGCTCATTTGACATGCGGTCTACGCAGTCGCTATGACCCCAAAAGAGCTCCTGGAGTGGTCCAACTCCACGATGGCCTCGCAGCGACCATCCGACCTACGTTCCCCACCCAAGCAAGTTCGCATTGGTGGTAGATCAGATCGTCTGAGGCCCCCGAGTTCTGATGGACGGCAGTAGTGGCGTAAACATCATCTTTGCGGACACTAGCCAAGATGGGGATCTCTGCAGCCCTGGCCCACTGGCTTCCACGATTTCATGCCAGGCGAGCAGATGCACCCAGATCTAGAGGTCGTATTTGGGGATGAGGAAAACTTCAGATCGAAAGCAATCTGATTCAATGTGGCGCCATTCCTATGTTAAGTTCATGATGCTACCGTCGTACGCATATCTCCAACTCAAGATGCCCAGGCCGAATGACACGGTAACGATTCACAACAGTCTCGAGAGGGCTCACGAAGCAGAAGTCGCGAACGTGGTCAGTGTCGGCCTTCCAGTCGGCGAAGGAAACAAAAAAAATTTCCAAGTAGACCTAGAAGACCTGGCAAAGACAGTGATCATTGGAGGAGACCTACCAGAAGAGCAGGAAAGCCAAACTTCTACAATTCCTCTGAGGCAGCTGGGACATCTTTGCCTGGAGGCCCGCGGACATGCCCGGGTTCAGGAATAGATTGCACAACACAGCCTCGATGTCCGGAAGGACACCCTGCCAGTCAAGCAAGCCCTCAATGGCTTCGACACAGAGAAACGACAGACTATTGGCGAGAAGATCATCCGACTCCTAGTTGTCAAGTTCATCGGAGAAGTCGCGCACCTGGAGTGGATGGCCAACCCCATTATGGTGTGAAGAATAACCTGTCATGGCGCATGTGTGTTGACTACATCAACCTCAAAAAGCATGCCCCAAGGACCCATTCCCTCTGCCTCGTATCGACCAGGTCATATATTCAACCGTGAGTTGCGAACGCATGTGCCTTGGACACCTACTCCAGCTGCAATGAAATACGCGTGAAGGAGTCCGACCAGAAAAAGACCTCCTCCAACACACCTATCAAGCCTTTTTTCCACATCACCATGCCCTTTGGGCTCAAGAATACTGGGCCAACATACCAACATACGATACAGAAAGGCCTCCACGACCAGATCGGCGTCAACATCGAGGCATACGTCAAGGACGAGTCATCAAGTCAAGACGCGACTCCAACTTCCTCTCCGACCTCGAGCAGACCTTCATCCACCTGCGTCGTTTCAGCATGAAGCTGAATCCAGAAAAATGTGTCTTCGGGGTGCCTTGCGGACAGTTCCTCAGCTTCATAGTATCTTATGAGGCATCGAGGCAAACCCAAAGAAGATACATGCCATCGTCAACCTCAAACCACCAGAAACAATGCAGGAAGTACAGAAACTCGCGGGTTGCGTCGCAGCTCTGAGCCGGTTCTTATCATGACTCGGGGTGAAAACCCCACAACTCTACTAGCTTCTTCGCAAGAACAACAAGTTATTGGACCGGTGAAGCAAAGGCCGCATTTGCGGACCTCAAGTACCTTCTACAATCTAACCTGTTACTGGCTTCCCTGGCGCAATCAGAGCCATTGTTGCCATACGTATTTGCCACCACACAAGTCGCCAGTATGGTCATGGCGGTCCAGAGGGAAGAGCAAGGAAAGACATAGCGGGTCCATCACCCGGTGTACTACATCAGCGAGGTTCTGACACCATGCAAAACCCGCTACCCGCACTACCAAAAGATCACATATGGCGTTTTCATGGCAGCACACGCATGCACGCACGCACGCACGCACGCATATTCGTGAAATTATGTCTCTTCATGAAAAGACATTGGACAATAATGAAAAGAACCACACTAATTGTTAGATGAACACGTTACAACTTTCAGTTTGTAACTTCCAAAAGATGCGAACATTGAACTCACTAAGAAAACTAATGCAACAAAATTTAGCATTTCAAGTTGTTTATGCACTTCAATAACATTTATAGTTTGCAACTGTGTGCCTAAAATATTTGAAATAATTAAACTCACTAAAAACATCTAATAATATCCACAGCCAATCCCGGGCTTTATACTAGCCAGTATATTTGACACATGTAATGTACAAATGAATTGGCGCTTCAAACCTGGATTCAGTTGTCATTCTGTGGTCTAATGCTTGGTTTTCTTTACATGAAATGAATTGATATTATTGCTTAATTTGATTAAACAAATAGAGTACAACGAAGACCATTAATAAAGATAAAGATAAAGCAACATAAAATTCATGCGAAATAGTCGTCCGGAGCTCTGCTCTTGGGGTCTTCATGTTGTTCCAAGCCTCGGACAAAGAAAACATCAAACCCTATTATTTGGTGTGTCAAAAAGCACTCACAGAAGAGAGAACCAATTTAACCGTTGTAGCCACCAGCGAGATCTTAGGTGCGACGAACATAACATTCCAAGTGCAAGTTGCAAAAAACAATGTCAGCCAAATGGTTACCCGGAGGATCCGCAAGGTGTGTCAATGTCCCATTGAGCGGATCATAGGCTTGTAGCGTTGGGCTTGCGCTGGCAGTATGTAAGCAATAGCAAATTAGCTTTCCACCATGACGCATCACCCTGAAAGGGGTCACTAGATCCATGGTTTGATCCATGGGATCACATACGCCTCGACCCAGTGGCCCTTGGCCAAATCAGACAGGAGCCATACGGTCGTGCAAGCATGTTTGCTCCCGCGTCCCTCCGAGTGAACAATGCAAAGG